CCCCCCCCCCCCCCCCCCCCCAGCCAAAAAACTGGGGAGTCTGCTCATCTGGGCTGGCATTCTCCAGCAGCTCAGGCAGTCTTCGAGCCCGCTTTCTCCCCCCACACAAAAGGGCAAATGTCTGTTCTGTTTGCTCCCAACCTAACCTAGGGTCCTTTGAGTAAAGCTCAACACTTACAGCACTTCCGCCTCAGGCTTTTTGAACATCTGTGCCTACCCTAGGTGTCATCTTCTTCTGCCTGGGACTCCTCTTTATATTTTTTTAAATATATTATAAATAAATATATAAATATATATAAATAAATTATATGGAAATAACAGTAAGTGCTCTCCTCTGATCATTTTTTGGTAAATTTGAATGATCTACTAGGTTTTATCAACACTACCATGAGAAACCTAATTGGCACCAGTGGTAAAAATTAATCAGTTAATCAAGCAAATGATAACTAGCAATAAAGCAAACAGGAAATACCAGCTGAAGTTCCACTTTATAAACTTACCCAATGTTCCACAGGGCTTGTTTTTATAAGTGCAGATATCATATCTGTTGAGAAGGAAAAAACAGATAAATACAAAAGAGGATCCAACCTGTGTGATATTTTATATATTTATCACATTTCTGTTTCTGAGCTCAAGTTGTCAGACCACAATCAGTGCAATTATGTGCTGCCAGCTGGTGTCGGCATTTTCTACACTCTGGTGTAAACCACAAACTGCAATACACTCACAACCTCTGGCCTCATGCCAGTGGGACACCTGCCAGTAAGAAAAAAATGGTTAAAGTAGAGCTTTGTAATCACCAGCTGTATAAAACAGCCTACCATGCTGTTACAGAGTTATAGCAGCATATCTTCAGACTGCTACTGCTTCTTCAAGAGACCCACTAGCAACTTCAGTTCTTCTAAACCTACTTATTCTTTTTTCTTACATTAAACATGGCATATTTTAGAACAAATGAGCCACATTAGTTTTAATTTCTATGGTATCAACTTTTATTCTCATCTTTAAAAAAATGAATTCTTGACAGTTGCTGTGAATATTATTAAAAATCTGATAGAGATATTAGATTTTTTTCTCTAATTACCTTCAGAAGATTACATCTGCTTTAAAAGTAGTCCATGAAACAATTATATATTTTTTTCTATTTTTTTCTCTAGTACATAAAGTTGTGAAAAAAGAAAACTCTGCTCCAACAATCAGTCTCCAGTCAAATAGCATGGTGGAGTAAATTATCAGTGTTTGGGGCTTCAGAAGTAATTAAAATGTTTTCTGAAACAGAGCTGATATACAGTGTAAATAATGTAGCCAGCATGTTTCCAGGGTTTTTGAACCATTTGAAAGCAAAACAATGAAGATGAGGAGACATGGCTTCTTTGGCCCCAGTCTTTTGACTGCTGTATGCATGAAGACCACTATACCCACACGGAACCCCAGTGATTATAATGGGGGGCCTGAATGTCTGTCTGCACCCTGTGTGTCCACTGTTTGCCAGAACAGATTCACTATAGATTAAAATCAGGGCCAATACCTCTATAGTAATTGTGTTGGTGTCCAGACCCAGAGATCCACAACAATGTAGGCACTAGGGAATATTACAAAATCACCTGAAAGCACCCCCACTTATAGAAAATTACTTTACCCATTAAGCAGCACATGTGAATAATGTATGGTACTGAGATAGCTGGTGTTAAGCAGGGCTTTTGAAGGACATACATTTCTTGTATGTAGATGTTAAGTGGGGGAGTGGGAAATAATTGTGGCTGGGAAAAAGTGAGTAGCAGACACTGCAAGGAGAGGCGAGACTGTCTTTGACATATACCTGAAAGATGGAATTTGCTGTAAGATTAACTGCAGAAGCAGTGTGTCCTACTCAACTGAATCAAGTTTCACTGGAGAATCAGACTGATTGCCAGGGAACCAAATTAAGCCTAATGTCTGGTTAGACTTCTGTACTGACTGTATTCAGAGGAAACACAGCCATGTACTAAAATAATTAATTCTCCTTCCATTTCAAGAAAAATGCTGAACATTTTAAATATGAACTGAAAGTGGATTTTTTTCCTACTGACTCTTATTTATAGGGGTGCACCAATAGAGATGTTTTGAGCCGATACCGATGGCCGATTTTAACAAGCCATATTGGCTGATACTGATCCAATTGCCAACATGCAGCCCAGCAGCTTGGCAGCAGTGTCCAGCTGGCAAGTCTGTTGTGGAGGAAGAGGCAAAGGGGGAGGGAAGGGGCTTGTGGGGGGAAGATCAAGGCCCCTATGGTGAGGAAGGGAGTGGGGCTGGGGTAGGGGCAGGGGCAGGCACTGCATAGCCAGAGTAGGCAGGGTGCAGGATGGAGCCACAGGCAGCTTATCTGGGGGGTGCAGAAATGGAGGGACAGTTCTCACCACCGCAAGCACCCCAGGATGGCATGGGTCCCACCCCAAGCACAGTCTGGCCCAGCCCCCCCACCAGGAAAAGTCCAGCACCGTCCCTGGCCCCCAGCCTGCAGCAGCATTTCACCCTCGCTCTGCACACAGATCCAGGGGCATATGCCCCCATGCCCTCCCAGGGTACGTGCAGTGGCAGGAGCCCCTCCACCCCACAGTGCCCTATGGACAAACCGCTCACAGCATCGTCCTCCACCCTGGCTGTGCAGCACCTGCCCCAGCCCCAGTGCCAACCTCACTTCCTCCCTCACTGCGGGGGTCTTGGTCTGCCCCCTCCCATACCCCTCCCCCACAATAGACTTACCAACCAAACGCTGTTGGCAGCACTTCTGGCTGCCTATGTGCTGCGCTGCAGTTGCACTCAAGCATGGCACATTTATCGGTGATATTATCGGCCCCAAAAAGCTGATAGCCAATAATGTCAATTTTCCTTATATCGGTGCCAATACAATATGGGACCAGTGTATCAGTGCACCTCTACTTATTTATTCTAGCCTTGTTTCTCATCATCTCAGATTTTGATTTAAGCTCTTCATACCATGGACTGTCTCTTATCATGTATTTATCCAGTGCCTAACACAACTGGGCTGTCATCGCAGTTGAGGCCAGCAGGCATGGCCATGATATAAATAAATAAATAAATCTGATTCACTCCACTATTATGCTCTTCTCACCCATTTCTTCTGCCCTTATGCACACTCCAGACTTTTCGGGGGAAGTCTATCAGTCTCATACTGGTAGACTTTCCCCTGCCAGGCCATAGTTTATGTGAAATCTGGCCCCATCAGTTTAATTTTTTTTTTTAAATTCAAAAACTCAAAGCAAAAAATTATCAGTTAAAAAAGTCAAGTTCACCTAGTTGCAACACAAAACCATTAACTGGCCTAGATTTGTTGAAAAGGATACACCCTGAGTTCAGGGAATTCACATATCTCACAGAACCATTAGATCAATCTGTCTCATATTTCAAAATTACAGCAAGTGAAAGCAGGCATATCTTGTCTAGTTTGGAGGTTCACTGTGAATATTTTGTGCACCCACAGTTTGGATGCACCAAAACACATTGCCTGCATTTTACAGAAGCAAATGCACCCCTTACTTTAAAGGAATGCATAGACAAAAATTCTTAGCATATTTAGACAGCTTTTGTGTAAGGTTTAACATTTTATAGAGTACTCATCAGCTCATCATTTTTGCAACATTTTAGCCATACATCTGATGTGCATAGCTTACAAATAACAATACTTTTTATGACACTGAATCTTTTCAATTTATTTCTAAAACTTTACTATAGCATTTGCTTAGCCTTAAGAAAGTGGTATACCACAACAGCATTTTGCCTTAAAATCAAGTACACGTCTTTACTTGATTTCTTCCTCAAAAACCTCAAAACCAAAAGAGCTATTTAAACCAAGGAAGGAAAAGCACATTATACATGCTACATATCACTCAACAAAATTAGCTTTTTCTATTATTAGTTTTCCATATCTTTTAAAACTGCCTGAGACAACCAAAGTCTCAGGCAGTCATCGACTTACAGCGTTTCAACTTATGGCAATTCTCACTTGCAGTGCTCCGCCATTTATACCCATGTTATTACTTACAGTGCTGGATCCTCGCACTTATGGCACTACAGGGAAATTTGCAATGAGAAAAAGAGGGCAGCAAAACAAACATCCCTGGATCAGTTTCTCCAAAAGCCATCAAGTGGCCCTAAGTCTCCCCAAAATCTCCCCAAAGAAGCCCTTCTGAATTCCATGACACTGATGAAAGTGTTCCTTCACCTTCTGATTACATAAAATTTTATGTGGTTACTGTATTGCCCTGTTTAATTGATTTATATATAGTACACTTTAGAAAGCTTTGTACTGTACAGTATATATCATTTATACTTGATTAAATGGTGTTAATGGTTGTTTCTATAAACAGTTGGGCATCAGGCCCTTGGTCAAGAACGTAACCCTCTATTATAACATTGTTTCTATGGGAAAATCAGATTCGACTTACACCGTTCCGACTTACAGCACCTTTTCCAGGAACATAACCCGCTGTGAGTGCAAGGACTGCCTGTGACACTAACATGCAAGTAATATACAGTAATACTGAATGTATACATGGGGAAATTACAAATTACAAAGCAGCTGATTTTTAAATACTTTTAAGTATATTGTCAAGTCATATTTCACCCAAAAACATAGTCTTTGTAAATATAAAATTCCACAAAACGTAAGTTCAACAAAAATAAATCAATTACATGTTCCTTGAATACTATCACAAAATATTGCTGGACTGCATGACAGAGCTGAAGGGAGAAATAGTGGAATGAGACAGAGTACTGTTACATGTTAACTTAAATATGCACTAATGGCTGTTAAACCAGGAGTGTCCACACATTAGGGCAGGGAAACATGCTAAGGGCCCTCTGAGTAGCTTAGTTTTCAACCTTTTTTCACTTGCAGACTCCTCTGGAAATTTCCAATGGAGGTGTGGACCCCTTTGAATTGTACGTGTAGATATTCACATACTTTTGAATGATCATAGTACTCTTTTGTGCACCCCTTAGACATAGTCTGTGCACCAACTTTTTAAGGCTGCACACCCACCCAGAGGCATCAGGGCAGCACAGGACATTTACCAGAGGTAAGCTCCTCACTCCTCAGGCAGTGGCTTCTGCCCGAGGTGAAGCAGAGGTGGTGGCAGGGACTGGGGCTGGGGCACTGGGAACTGCTCCGGCTGGCTTTTTTACCTTGTTGCAGCCGGAAATTCTGGCCACCACCTCTTCCGCTGCATCCAGACTTTCATTTAGTTACCTGCTGAGCGGAGGAGGAGTTCTGGGGCCCCAGGAAGGGATCAGGGGGCCCCAGAACTACATCCTTCAGTGGGTCCCCAAAGATTGTGGGCCAGCCCTGCATGGGATTTCCCTCTCATACAAGTTTTAAACCACTGTAAGTTTCTATTTTTGAATTAAGTCACTGCTGATTTGCAAAGGCATAGATAAAAAGAAAATATGGGCCTATAAACACCACAGAAGGAAACCATTGCAGGTAAGCAGATCACATGACTTTTAGTGGTGCACAAAACTCCTTTACTGCTTTTTTTATTT